ATCCGTCTGAAGGCCAAGCTCGACACCAAACGCTATGGCCCCTTCACCGTTACAGAAGTTATTGGCAGCGACCCTGAGAAGGCCATCAACTTCCGGTTGGACATCCCGAAGACCTGGAAACGTATCCATCCGGTCTTCCACGCCCATCTCCTGACCCCCTATGTGGAGACACCGGAACATAGCCCCAACTTCCTACAGAACCTGCCAGATTTGGTCGACGATGAGGAGGAGTATGAGGTGGAGCTCATCATTGATGGTCAGCCAACTCGGAACAAGCGTGGTTTCCAGTACTACGTCAAGTGGGAGGGTTGGCCGGACACCTACAACCTCTGGAGGCCGATGTCCGCGTTGACGAAGGCCAAGGAGCGCATAGCTGAGTACCACAAAAACAATCCTCGTGCACCGCGCCCACAGAACCTAGACAAATTCCTAAAGGACGCCTAAACGGCATGCTCCAGGCGCAAGCATGCCTTAAAGGGGGGGCAATGTCACGGTTCGACCCTCGGTCCCACGATTATTCATTTTTCTTTTCTTTTTCCTTCGATTATCCGGCAACGGCCGGATCGGACCGGTGGCCCGCCCGGGCCGGAGACCAGAGCGGTCCGGTGCTCACCGGAATGTGCCGGAAGGTTCCCGGACTGCATGACTCATCCTCTTCTCGTATGACTCGGCCCGGCCTGACTCACCTGTGCTCAGTCAGCGGAGGCCGGGTGGCTCACTAAGCACGTTCTCACCAAGGCTGTGCATGACTCAGACTACTATATAAGACTGCTCCCCATGTATTCGTATTCTCTAGTTCGTCCATCTTGCTACCCATCCAGACGTTCTCTTTCTATTTTTGTCTTGAACTCGTCCCTACTGCGTGACCCGGAGGTATCTGCCCTAGTGAGCCCCTAGCACTACGCCATCACCCAAGACCCCTATGCCGCCACCCAAGATCCCTACGCCGCCGCCCATGAACCAAGCAGCTGAAGCCATGGACGTCGATGTTGCTGTGGTGAGTGTGGGGAGTTGTTGGCTAGAAGGGGCTGGCTGACAAAAGTGTTTGCGCAGCACGAACGACTTAAAGCGGCGTCTGACACTGGCCATCAGGTCCCCAAAGCACGTGCCCCACTGCCAACGGCCGTCAAAGATTCTGGAGAGCGGCTTGTAAGCTCCACTGTAGTCGGAGGCAAACCTGTCTTTGCATTTGAGGCGGAAAGAGCTGACGTAGCAGCCTATGACATGAAGAGCGTGAGTGGTCTCTTTATCGGTGGAGCCAAGACTGATGAGCCGACCTGGAAGCAGTACAAAAACGAGTGCAAAACTATGCTGACAAAGCTCGCCGTAAGGAAGCAGTGGCTTGAAAGAACGAACACACCATAGTTTTTTGCCGATTTGACGGCGTCGTTCACGGGTGCCGCACCGGTAAGCCTGGCATGTGAGCTTGCGCTCGGTACATAGCTCTAGAAAACAGCAACACGGTGAGTAAAGGGTGGCATCAGTCGTTAGAGAATGAACTAACGCACATCTAGCCTGACGATCAGTTGCTTATGCGGGCCAACAGCAAAGGGGCCCTGCTCCCGTCATACTTGCTCGCCTTTGCGCACAGCCCCAGAAACGGTATAGCCCAGTGGCACAGCAAGAAGGCTGCGGAAGGACAGAAGCAGACCTCCGCATTACTGGACTGGAACATAAGTGAGACATTGCCTCGACAGTGGGCGCTACTTCAGCCACAAGAACGGCGCGATAGCATAGGTCGTCTGGTGGCGCCCGCGACAAGTTCCTTGACCTGGCCACCTAATTCGATTTGTCCGGGTGAGGTCGGCATCAGGATGCTGATCGTGACGCTCTTGGCCTGGGGTGCAGGTATACAGAGCGGTGGGGAGGAGGCGAGTGTATGGACGCGCATGGCGGTCGATGTCGTGGACGTGTTGAGGATCGTGGTGGCAAAGTATGGCACACCAAGCGTAACGAGCACAGAGGGAAGAGCGAAGTAAGTCAGTCGTTCCTTTGCTGCTGCATGTGCTGATGCCGTGGCACAGGAAGCCGTCGAGAAAGATGAGGGAATCGGGCACATGAGTGCGATGAAGAGAAGTTCGGGCTCATTACATAGATCATCCATAGACAGATCCAGCATAATCACAGTAGCTTAGCGCAGGGTACAGCAAGGTTACTGTTGATGCCAGACAATAAAATGAGTAGCGTTGCGGGACTCGGAGAACGAAGAGAAGACACGACGATGCGAGCCTGAACCACCCTGTGACCGCATCGCCGTGAGAGTTGATGTCGGAAGACGCGTCGCCGGCCACCGCCGGACTTGACTCCAAACGACAACCAGCGCTAAGTCTGTGGCTATGCAATTACGGCCAATGATACGCTCTGCGACCAGTGCATTGATTCATTGGCTATATCAATATAGGTGCGTGATGGTGTGCACTACATCTGACAGACCTCTAATCACTATGCAACAGGAGTTTTTACCGCCCTTAGGACGCTCCTACAAAACCGCCTAGATATAGACGGAGTGTGTATACTGTGAGGCTATGATTATTTGATGTATTTACTTCCACCGTACCTCTGTGGCGGCTCGGGCACTTCACGCATTCGCATTTGTGCCCTACATGCATGCTTTTCACCTCAATCCCGAGTTTTAACCTGGTCGCAATTTTTCTCATGCGCCCCGATTTTTCACTTGGTCGCGTTTTCGCCCGGAATGCGGGGTTTTCACCTGGACCACGCAGGGAAAGTTTTCATCTCAACATGCCGGTGTTTTGCCCTGGCGGGAATGATATTCACTTCAGCCCGGCTTTTTGCGCTGAGGTTGGAGTTTTGACTTCGCGACGGCCTCAGGTAAATATGAGTGTTAACCCGAGTGGGCCGCGGTCGGCCGCTGCCGCTGTTTCCCTATGCGTCTACGTTATGTCACTCATCAATCGATGATGTAACATCTGATGGCTGACCCTGCCAGCCTATCCAAGGGGCCTGCCATATTTTTACCTGGACGACACCGGTGAAAACCCCATGCTGTTGACTGATGCCCAGGTTATTACCTTGTGACATTTGCAGCTGATCATTTAGGGCGGAGCCTCTGGCAGATTGGCCTGGTTTGCAAATATGGGCAGAGTGTACGGTGTGAGAAGGGTCTTGTTGAACATGTTGTGCGTTTTCCAAGTCGGAGGAATATCAAGACGGTATGCAGAGGCACCGGTCTTCTCCAGGATCTTGAAGGGACCATGGTGTCGTTCATTGAGACAGACAAGGGATATTTAGACTTGAGGTTGGTTGCTTCAAGCCACATCTGATCACTGACCTCATAGTTGCGAGCATCTTGATGATGTTGATCGTAACCCTCCTTCATGGTGTAATGCTGACACAATCTCCTCGTGGACCTTCTTGAGATGCTGGGCATATGATCTAGTGGCGGGTGCATGGTCTGTGGCGTGGCGGTTGGGTCCACTATATGGGTGGCATCCCTTAGAGGCATAGGATTGTGTCTCATAGTGTGAGCAATGTGTTGAGCATAGTGTAAGCACAGCGGTACAAGCTCATACAGACTTACCTGGATAGGTGGATACAGGGATAATTGAGTGGTAGTTGGAAGCAAGTGACCTTAGCGTAGCATTGCAGACAGAGCATATATATATACAGGTAGGAGAGTGTGGGAGCCTGGCATGACAGTATGTGGAATACAGAGAAGCCCCTACTAGGGCAGAAGGCGCCGAGAAAGGAAACGGGAAAGAATCATATGTTCAACACTCCCCCTTAATAAGCTGACAAGTACAGGGCCAAACGGTGCATCAGGAAACCGCCTTAGTGCGAATCCAGGTGAATCCCAACTTTTCCGCTCTAAATCACTCAAATTGCCCCTCAATTATCATCGATTATCACAATGGCAAGAAGAGCAAATTAGAAGCTATAACTACATTTTGATTTTCCGAATTGGCCCTTATTGAGCTCGTAGCCTGTCAAAATTGATAATATTGGGTTGTCAAATCGTTTGGCGACACACTTAGCAGTTCAGAAAAATCATTTTATCATAATAAATGACATTGTATTGGTGTGGTGCATAATTACGATATACTACACAGAGAGATATACATAGAGCAATCCAAAATACATGCAAACTGAGCAATATCAAGACCAGCCTCTTCCTGCATATGAGCCTACCCCCTGGCCATCAACAAATATAGCCCTAACAAAACAATCAGCAGGGGTCACTGCGAGTTTGGGGAATCTGCCCCTCACCTCCGACAGAGTCGTTTGTTACAAGTGAAGACTTGGAAGAGGTACTAGATCTAGCACACACCTCGCATGACATTTTCTTGCATTACATGGACAATGATGGGGGCATCCCACCTACAGGCTACAACCAAGTCAATGAGAGTTCAAGCGGGTCTGCAAGGCTGACGTACATGCAAGGGGCCGGACAAGTCACCCAACCAGAAGTTGTCATAGGTATATAGAAAACCTGCATGAATAACCGTAAGTCGTTAGCCGTGCAGTTTCACGAAGAGATGATGAGACATTGGTACTTACAGGTGTCAAACCAATGACGACATGAACATGCGAGCCACAAGAAAGGTGTGCTGGCGACATTAGCAGCTGAAGCAGTGACTCAAAGCCACGGCGACTGCAAATGTAAGACAAGTGGAAGAAGGGGTAGTATAGGAGGAGGAGGAGCATATAATTCCGCTGCACTTCTGCGATGCCATCGGCAGTGCGGACGGCGTCCGGCAGCGCTGACAACGGAGATGCGGATCCGTGCGGACGCAGCTCCCCGGCCCATACAACCGTCACGGCTGCCGGCCAGGTGCCGATGGTGCCGATGATAAATACTGAAGTACTGGTATTAGTCTAATGTAGTAGGGGTATATATCATTAGGTATCTGTACACAATAGAAATACATATTATAGTTACCATTTGCGTGGGTGCCGAGCGGCGCG